AAAAACTGGAAAAATTCTGGTCTGACTAAAACAATCAACCACTTTACCAAGAGTTGTCAATAGTAAAAGGGATTTGATCTAATTTCTTTATCTTTAACTTCCATAACCTTTCACTTCCCCCTTTAACCTATGCCAGTGGCAAGATCCCATACTCCTGCTGACACTGTAAAAACACCCTGCTCACTTTTTAACCTCGAACTTTTGTCTCCTCATGTATCTTTGCAGCAGCGATGAGGACAACAAGCCTCTGCAGGGCAGCCAGACTTCGCTGGATGGCAATGTGAAGGAAAGCGACGACAGCCTGGTGGACTATGGTGAAGGTGGCGATGGTCAGTTCAACGAGGATGGCTCTTTTATTGGCCAGTACACAGTGAAGAAGGACAAGGATGAGACAGAGGGCAACGAGAGCTCCGAGGCAACTTCGCCTGTCAATGCCATCTACTCACTGGCATAGCCTCCCAGCAGCACATGGGGGACTAAGTACCCCCCAAAATCCACCCAGTGATTTTAGGGTTTTACAACAGCACCATATACCCCCCACCCAAACACACACACACAGACAAACACACACAAATATATTACTGTATAAAACACCAATAACACAGAAGAAATGCAGCAGGGCCTGTCAGGAGACTGTGTAGACTTTAGACTTTCCTCTGATGATAACAAGGAGAAACTTGGGAGTGCAATTAGACCACAAGCCTTTACTTTTTGTTTCCAGCTCTAAAATATGGCCCATCTGAGGTGATGTTTGGACAAAGTGGACAGTGCTTGTTTTGCTCTGTGCTCTGCCTGCCCTTTACCCACACAGACTTGAAGTGTGCCTTCTGGGCAGCTTCCAGTATTTGGAGGCATCTACAAGTGTTATTTAGAGATTTTTCCTTTGTTTGTTCCAGGTCTGAACATTGTCAGTGTCACTGCTCTCCTTCCTGATGCGCCCCTCATACATCAGTGTAGCATCCCAGTTAAGTACACACAGTGGTTAGACACAAACCCCCCCCACATACACACACACACACTCGCCCCATGTTTTAACATATCAGCTTCTAACCATCAAACTCAACAGGATGCTGGCAGATATGTTTATCATATTGATATTTAAGCAATGAAAGATTTTAGTTTTTCCACAGCTGGTAGATGAGTCATTGAATCTTAATGAATGCTGTACACAGTCCTGGCACACATTTTAGTGCCCCGCAAAACTATGCACTGTCACTTCCTCAATACCATTATGATTTAAATCTGGTCAGTTAACAGTACATCTGAGTTCCTTTTTTCCAAACTCCCATGCTTTTTATTCACCTCGCCTTGTATCATGTGGTAGACATGTTTTTTTTTAAATCTTTAATCCAATCAATCAAAATGGCTGCCATAACAAAAGCCATTTCAACACGAACAACAAACTTTGTCATGGTGTTTTTTCAATGAAACCCATTAAATAATATTTTGGAGCACTGTAGAAAGGCAAGTGGACTACAACTCAGTGAATAACCTAGTCAGCATGCAGGCTAATGTTGCATTCATGTCAAATGGGATAGTTCAGATGGGGACTGTAAAGCTCCAACTATCACCGTAATTATTCGGTTATTCTGTGTTACAATATTCTATTGCTTTTTGTCAGTTTCTCATTTGTTAGCCATATGTAAGTATAATAAGTATGTTTTATATGTCCAAAATTGTTGGATGGCTTTGTTCATTTCAATGACAAACTGTGATATATCCATACACCAAATTTTCGAAATCATAATGTTTTCAGGTTGGAGGCTGATTTACATTCTCTCCTGTGTGACATGAATACAGCTTGAGAAGTTTAAGGTGATCAGACTAAATGTTGCATTGTATTGTATGTACACAAATTGAAAAAGATTTTTATTACAGTCTTTAGTCCCAAACACCCAATGTACAGATGTTAACTTTGACCTAACTTGTAGGCCTACTGTATTCGCCAATTTACTTGAGTTCTTTCTGATATTTTTCTCCAGACCCCCATTTTCAATTCATGGCATTGTGTTAATCACACTGTAGAATGGTTGGCACCTTATCCATTCCCACAATTTTTGTTTAGAAATTTGTCCAATTTGTTATGCATACAAAAAAAACAGCAATAGGGTTATGCAGGATACGTTTAAAACTACAATATTTACAGCATGAAGATATATAAATTCACAACCCACTTTGAAATGAAATGAGCTGAGGTTTTAATTTTTGCAGAGAAAGAGAAAACTGTTTGATTAACAGAATACGTTTTAAGAAGTTGGCGTGCTCTGTGTCTCACTTGTCCTACTACCATATAAGTCATCTAGTCATTGTCTTTGCAGACTTATGGACTGCCATTCAGTGATTTGCTCATGTTTCTTTAGTTTATATAATCATTCAGTGAGTGCTCATTCATTTTACCACAGAGTTTTGCTGCTCTTACTGTAGTTACTTTGCTGGTCAACAGGGCTATTAGACCCTCCAATGCTAAATCA